CCACCATTTACATAAACTGGAACTTCTTGAAAGTGCAAGTTTGGTTCTGTTTTCTCTCACATCTTGAACTTCCAGTTTTCACTCAATGATCTTTGTTCTACCTTTTCCAATTTGAAGCCATTTTCTCTCCCATAGAAAAGAAAAAGCAAAATATGGCATATTAAGACACTCAGAAACTCTAGAAGATCGGTTGAGGAAGGGTTAGGGTATTGGGCAAGAAAGAATGTTAGAAGGATAAAGAAAGACAAAGAAAGGAAAAGTAATAAGTAAAAGAGGAATGAGATGGAGAGTCTTGCTTAACTGAAAGATATAAGGAATATTGAAGTTGTTCTAAGAGGATTTTGTTCATTTGTGACTCCATCATTTTTGCTTTGTGACCCTGACTTGGCCAAAGTTTTAAAGGTCAAAATAATGGTAGATCCACCTATTTTATCAGCTTGAGGGGAAAATCAAAAGCAAGTCAAAGAGAACTGTAAATTGTGAAATGGCAAACACAGTGATCTGACCGTGTTAGATTTATGAGATTTGAATTACAGTTTTGACATTTTATACACTGTTTTACCTATCTTGCCCTCTTTCTAGTATTTAAAGAAGATAGAGAAGGTTGTGGAGGTTAAATAGTAAAATGTATATGAAGTGCTCTTAGAGTCCTGCACATGCTGAGTGGAGCTGAGAGCATTCTCTTTGATAGTCTCAGCCAAGGTAGAAATATGCAGACAGTATTGTTACTATTTTTTATTAAACAAGATAGCAAAAATAAACACAAAGACTTATTACATACAGGGTTAAAAAGTGGAATTTGATTATTCATCATAATTTTACAGACCATGGTAATTGTTTTACTCTACTATTTAACATTGTCCAATAAAAAGGAGAAAGATTTTTTTTCAGATTGAGTCCAGATAGACGTCATATTCACCACAAAGTATGATAGGACCTTTTACTGTTCTCATGTGCCTAGCAGTATTATTCCTTTTACACAGATGTTACTTAACAGTTAGAACATATTAATATATGAACAAATTATAGTCTATGATAGTTTGAAAAATTAATAAATTAAATATTCTACTGTTAAATTTTATCTTTTGCCACCTAAATTTCTCTTTATTTTTTTTATTTGTTTCATACATGGGTATGGCTGTTATGTATTTTATGTCTAAGTTAGTTGCAATCTCTTGAGTTCCAGTATCTACAATGTACTATAACGTATAATGTATAAATCTAGAATGTTCTAGGATGTAATCCAAGGAGCAAACTTGATTGGTCAAAACATCAACCAGATGAAATTGGGTGGCCTAATTAGCACAAACTCATTCTTTTACTCCAAGATAATCTGTGTGCAGAGTGGGTCAATAGCAGCATGTGTTGTTGGCAAAGAAAGTCCACAGTTTCAGAGAACTTCAAATTATATAGATACATTCTAGGTCAAAAAGGAATTTTAAAAAACGACAGAATGGGATCTTCCCTGGTGGTGCAGCGATTGAGCGCTGCGAGGTTCGTTCCCGGCCACTGGCACCCACAAAAAAAAAAAAAAAAGAATGTCAGGATTGGAAGAAGGTAAGTGTTCAGATGCTTCAGTGAGCCATCTGATGCTTGAACTTCCTTTCAAATAACAGCAAGTGTGCTTTTCGTTTGCTTATGACAGGTCTTTTTTTTTAACCTGCACTGTAAAGTTAGTGCTAGAAATAGTCATGGATATGACCCATTCTAATAAATCTCATTCACAAAAAATATAAAATATGGCAATAATATTTTCACAAAAATTGTGCTGAACAGATACTTATATCAATTCAATTTGCTTTCATTTTCATTATGTTGCTTAAAAAGATTAATGCTCTCAATATCTTGATAGAATTTTCTATGTACTTCAGTTTAAGTTGATAATAAGCCCTCCAAATTAATATAATGGTTTAATATATATATATATATATATATATATATATATATATATATACACACACAAACACACCAGTATGAAGAACCACTGACACACTAATATCTCTACGGTCCTGATATATTCCAGATATTGAGCTGGATGCCAAGAAATAGACATTAGAATAAGACATAAACCATCCTCAGAGATTTTCAGGTGCATTGTATAATATGGATATACCATGTAAATACAGACATTCTGCTTTATTAGTCAGACCATTTTCTAGCTGGTAATTTGAGGGAGGGCATGTCAAATATACTGAAAAAAAAAAGTCCAGTACTCAGAGATCTCTTTCATATTATTTTGAATAGTCTGCTTGCCTACCAGCAGAATTTCAGAGTTTGGGAATAAATGAAGGAGGGACAGAGAGAAAATACATTTTCAAAGGAATTTGACCCTTCTGGCACCATGAGAGGTACACCAGAATCAAAGTATAAACAGAATGGGGAATCTCCTGCAATAGCCAGTGGGGTCATTGACTAATCTATATAGCTTTGGGTAAATATTTTCACACCTTCATATGTGCACATGCTTTACTCACCCACCACCAAAACTTCAGCACCAGTGTCTTATCCACTTCCTTCATCTAACTTGTTCTCCACCCCCCACACCTCATTCCCTCTGGTAATGAGTATATTTTTCAGAATTTTAAGATGATTTCTGCTGTGCTTTGCCCAATATGTGTTCTTTGATATTTATATTCAACAAATATGTAAAATCAGCCAGTATCTATTTTTCATGTTCTGGTTTATTTCAATCACTTAACATAATTACCTTAAGGTCCACCCATTTTGTCCCCAAAGGCACTATTTCATCTTTTATAATAACTGACTTTTAGTCCATTGAGTATATATTCAACAATTTCTTATTCAGTCATATATAGTTGAGCATTTGGGTTGGTTCCATGATTTGGCTATTGTGGATAATGCTGCTGTGAACATATGGGGCATAAGTTTTTTGCATTAGAATTTTCATATTCTTTAGGTAAATACCTAACAGTGGAAGTGCTGGATCATATAACATTTCCATTTTTATTTTTTAATCTATCTCCATACTATTTTCTGCAAAAGCTGCACAAAAATAACATTCCTACCAATCGTATGGAAAATTGTAGAGGTACAAAATAAATAAGAAGATGTTTATTATTTACTGTTTTGTATCACTGCAATTTTCTGCAAATTTATTGTGCCTACTTCTCTACTGTTTTAGTGAAAATATGTCTCAGTTTTAAGAAAAACTCTCTTGTCTTTCTTTTGATATTTATCCTTGGCATCCACATTTTTGCTTTTTTTTTTTAACTAATATCATACACAGAAAATATTTAGGGACTATCATACGTAAAATATGAATACTGTATTTTATTAGTGAAAAGTAGCCTTGTATAAGTTTTGCTACTTTAATCCAATTTTATACAATAGTAACTCTGCCTTTATGAAATTTCGTATGTGTATAACTATTGATTTCTACTTCATCAATATTTGTCAAAATTTTTTAAAGATTTATTTATGTATGCATACAAGATCTGGGGTACAGGCAGACTGACTGAAATACACTGCTGAGGGGAGCAGCGGGTGAGACAGGAGTGGTCTGCCTCGCCATATGGATTGCCCCCTGGCTTGCCAGGGATCCAACTCGGCTGCAGAGGCTGCAGATTGCTTCACGGTATGGTGCTTAACCCCTTATGCCCCAGGGAGGCCCAATATTTGTCAAATTTTTAAGGGTTAATCAGTTACTGCATTTTTATTTTTATTTATAAATACTTTTAATAAAGAACCATGAGCAGTGATCATGAGTTCAGGCTTTGGGACTACTGAGACCTTGATTCAGTCATGGTATCAGTACTGCTACCTCAACACTGCTAAAGATTCTATATGTTATTGTATTTCTCTGGGTGTAAATTTCCTTACTTGCAAAGTGGGTATAATTTCACCTACACAATAAAAAAAGAGATATGAGAATACAATGTTTGCCCATTAAATAGCTCTTATTTTTTGTGGCCTCTGAAACTCTTGAGCTATATTTCTGGTTCATAATTTTTACATTCACTAAATTATAATTTAATCTCATGTTTTTATATGTATACTATATTGCTCTTCTGAATTTTTTGGCACATTTATTTTAAAGTTATACATTATTTTTTCTATTAGTGTATAGTCATAAACTTTTATAAAAATATGAAAATTCACCTTTTTCAATTTTTAAAGTTATATTGGTTTATGTAGACCCTGTCCTTATAAAATATGATAAAATTCACCTTACTTTTTACATCTTTTAATTTTTTATACTGCTTGTCCTATTTGTCTGATAAATTCTATTACACTATCTGCTCAATTGTTATTTAATCCTTTGATGCCATATTTTTTTTTACTAGAATGATCACTTAAGGGTGTTAAATTTTTTAGACCATTGTCACTGATAATCACTTCGTTTTTGATTATCTAACCATTTTAATGTTATTTCAATCATTTAATCAAATTGATTTGTATTTTGATTGGTCAAAATATTTAAGTACACTGTTTTTTTCAGTAAGACAACTGTGGGTGTAAACATTCTGATCCTCTGAATTTTTTATCTTTGCATAGGAGTGGTAAATTGGACATAAAGTTCTTGGAGTTCAGTTTATTTCCCACAGCTTCTGTTTTCTTTTGACATGTGGAAGTATTAAAGAGTAATCTGTAGAAAAATCAGAGTTACCTTTTGGAGATTTTACTTTATTTGATAATCTTTTCAGTGATGATGTTCTCTTTATTATATTTGCCTTAGTCAGTAACTTCTTTTAATTTTCAGTTAAATAATGTTCTATATAAACATCCTTCTCTTTGTCCTGCTTCTATTCTGTCTGATCTGATTTGATCTTTTATCATAGGATTCCTGTGAGATAAGGAGTAAGAGCACAGACTGTCATCATCTCTGTCTTTCCTCTTTCTCATTTATCTCTGGGTTCAACATGTTAGATATAGATAACTTTTTAATCTCATTTCCATTTTATGAATTGTACTTTTTTGTAATATTATAACTGTTCTTACATTCTTTTTTTGAAACTTTCCTTCCTTATTTTTCTCTTTCAAGTGTCAGATTATTTATCATCCAGATATTCATGTCAGAACACTGAATATGGGCAAACCTCTCTCTTTCTACCACTTATCTTACTTTCTTTTCTGTTTTAATTTTTTCAATTTATTTGAACATCATGTTTTCCAACTTTCCTCGTCTCAAAATATTTCTTCATATCGATTGCTTAATTCTAGAAACACTGATGCAAAATCCACAAATCTTGAGACTAAAATCAGAAATGCTCTCCTGTTCTTAAGCTTTTATTGTTTAGTATAACTTCTATGTAGAAGGTGCACAGATCATAAGTGCACAGCCCTGTGTATCATCATCCGATGAACACACTTAGGTAACCACCACTCCAAGAAATAGAACATTCTAAGTGATTTTTCATATTCGATCACTATCCTCTACTTCTTTTATAAAGTTGATTGCTCTCCTGAATTCTACTTCCTATATTAGTTTTGCCTTTTTAAAAAATGGAATTATAGGATGTGCATTAATGTGTGTCTGTCTTCTTTACTTCTTGTATGTTTCACACTGTGCATGTATAGATGTATATGGATATAGTCAGTCCATTTTATTGCTATATGTTATGTTTTAGTAACAAAACACACATCATTTAGCCACTATTTATTAGACATTTGTGTTACCTACATTTTTCCCAACTAAAGCTGTTATAGATGTGTACACATTTCTCTTAATTACATACATAGGAGTGGAAATGATAAGTAATAGGGCTCACATAAGTTCAACTTTTCCAGATAGTAGGGCTAAATGGTTTTCTACTGTAGCTATGGAAGTTTAAATGACTATTGGGAATATTGGTTACTTTATATAACAAAACAAACTAAATTTTAATGCAATAATAATTCTTATAACTCATGGATCTGGGATCATTAATTAAGGTTTTTGAGAATGATGTTTATGAGAGAATGTGTAGTGTCAATAATTTGAGGATTAGAGGCTTTTGATTATTCTTTTATATAGGAGTTGATCAGCAGTGCTCAGAAAAGATTGACTAACCTTCAGAATTCAAACAACCTGTTAAAGTTAATTAAAATTCAGGATTTATTTCATGAATAATATTCTGTAGGGAATCATATCTAAAGTTCTTCTATTGAGAAATTTACATTCTGAAATTGGGAGTTACATGTTAAAAGAACATCTAAAGCACTCAACTTTCATGCATTTAATGATGAGAATATGTGTACACAAAAGTGCAGAGGGACCAGGAGAGTCCAAATTTGTACTGGAAGTTAAGTGAGCAAGGAAGTGTCAAGACACCTTGTTTTCTAAGCACGAAAATTGTAGTTTGGACCTATAAGTTGTTTTAGTGGGCAGAAAAATTTGGAACTACAAGTTGTTTTGGTGGACAGAAAAATCAGATGTAAATATAAATTTATATATTAGGTAAGTAGTAAAATTATGGAAAATTTTATGTCACAGCAAGTCACTTGAATTTAATTATATGAACAATGAAGATTTAGTCATCAAAAAGACATTCTAGCATCTGTGGTAAGCAAATTGAAAGTAAGTATAAATGAAGGCAAAAAAAATACTTGAAAGACAAATGTGATTTTCAATATGAGATTAGTAACTTTTCCTTTGGGGTAACGTGTAAGAAGATATAAACAATACTAATAAGTCAGCTGTTTAGCAACTGAATGAGGGTTAGTGAGAAGAAAGGTGGCCTGCTGGATTCTAAGGTTGATATCTGGATGGATGACAAATTCATTAAGATCAGGATATATGGAAGAAGCTAGCAACACATTATTCTTTTACCCTAGCATATTCTAGAAAGTAAGCAAACAAATAAATAAACATGGATATAATAAAAACTTCACTTAAGGGGACTACTGATGAACCTATAAAAGCGGCATAACTTTCTATAATATAAAACACAGGAGAGAACTGGGAGAGAAGAAGACTGGAGGAGACACATGAAGCAGAAAGGCATGTGAAGAAGCCACACTTGCTTCTCAGTCTTGAACTTATACCAGAACTATCATCAAGACATAAGCTCTGGAGAATAGTCCATGAGAGACAGATCAACATGGCGGTGGGGAAACACTGCGAGTAAGTTCTCCCATTAAAAAAAAGTTAATAGGGAGGAAAAGCTTCAGGTCCCTGTGAGAACTGGGACACAGAAAATAAACGGTTGACTCTGTGACTCTGGAAAACTGCCCAAAGAGAAAATTTGCCATAAAAGAGGATGAGAAGACAGGAAGCTCAGAAACCTGCTATCCTCTCCCACCCACAAATCCAGCATAACTGGCTTTCCAACCAACAGGAGGAAAAAAACAAAAAAAAAAAACCAAAAAAACAAGAACAAACTACACATCAAGCAGGACAGTGAGTGGAAAGGAACTATTGTAGGCACCACACCCCGTGAACGGGAACTGTAGAGAACAGTGCAGGAATCCCAACGGAGGTGAGTGAATGACTCTAGGTGCCATTAGAGGAAGATAAGGACTCAGTGGAGAGACCTACAAATAGCCTAAGACTATCTAGTAAGTGTGTGTGGAAAAGCACAATGCACAGGAAAACCATACGTGGAACAGGGTTGCCCAGGTCCCCCGCCTGCGACCTAAGTTCCTGGGGCGACTGGCGGGAACCATCACTGAGGTGAATGACATTTACTGAGTAATTAAAAACCAAGCCAAGATGTGCTATATTTAATACAGGTAGCTTCATGTCCAGACCTCAACAAAACTGTGTGGAACTGAGAAAGGGCTGTCCCCACAGTCAGAGGTGAGATGAAACCCCACACAGTACAGGCCCTGTGACTGGCCACCAGTTTGTGCCCAGAGGGGATCCAGCCACCCCTGGACCAGACCGAGGGCACAGGAGAGTGTCTCCCAGATGAGCCATCTTTAAAACAGGGAGCTTCACATCTGGACCTCACCAAAACTGTGTGGAACTGAGAAAGGGCTGCCCCTACAGTCAGAGCTTCTGACATCCAGAAGGAGCTCACCAAAGAGATGCTGGCCAGTACCAATGACACAGTGTCCCAACACATAGGACAAATCAGAAAACAAGGAGCAGGAAGAAGAAAAACTATAAGCAACCAAACAAGTCCTCAGGGAAAGGACACATTACAAAAAGAAAATCAACCACCAGGTTGTAACAACAGTGACTTGGAAGAATTGAGTCTTCCTGATAGAGACTTTAAAATCACCATGATTAAAAAACTGAAAGAAGTCAAAAATGATATGGGAAAAATAATTAATGATCAGAAGAATGAAACTGAGTCCCAAAAGAGGGAAGTAAAAGAAATGCAGGAGATCAAAGGATTAGTGGAGGAGCTGAAAAACTCTGAGAAAAGCAATGAAAGAAGAATAGATGAAATGGAAGAATGAATAAGTAATCTCAAAGACACAGAAATAAAAAGAACCAAAACAGAAAAGCAAACGGAAGTATGAAGGGAAAAAAAATGAAGAAAGACTTTGGGAACTATCTGACTCTATGAGGAAAGGAAATATAACAGTTATAGGGATCCTAGAAAGAGAGGAGAGAGAAATAGGAACAGAGAAAATATTCAAGGAGATAATCAAAGAGAACTTCCAAGCATGAAGAAGGAGCTGAAAATAGACATACAAGAAGCAAGAAGAACACCAAACTTCCATGATGAAAGGAAAAATACAACAAGACACATAATAGTAAAGCTTCCAAGAATCCAATACAAGGAAAAAATAATGAAACTGACAAGAGGGAAGAAACAGATAACATACAAAGGAAAACCAATCAGGCTGACATCAGACTTCTCTGAAGAAACTCTACGGGCAAGGAGATAGTGGAGGGACATAGTCAACAGACTCCAAGACAACAAATGCCAACCAAGAATAGTTTATCCCACAAAGCTTTCCTTCCTCTATGCAGAAAAAATAAGAACCTTCCCAGACAAACAGAAACTCCAGAATTGCATTACGACCAAACCCCCCTAAAAAATACTACAAGGAGTCCTAAAACTGGAACCAACAGAGGGATGAATAAGAACGAAACAAGACAAAAAATAAAACCACAGAAAAGACAAACTAAATGGCAAATACAAATGCCAACATAGCAATATTAACCCTAAATATAAATGGACTAAACTCTTCAATAAAAAGACAGAGTTGCAGGCTGCATTAAGAAACAAAACCCAACCTTTTGCTATCTCCAAGAAACACATTTAACTACAAAAGATAAAAATAGACTGAAAGTAAAAGGATGGAAAACAATCCTACAAGCAAATGGACCAAAAAAGAAAGCAGGAACAGCTATACTTATATCAGATAAAAAACATTTCAAACTCAAAAAGGTAAAAAGAGACCCTGACGGTCACTACATTATGATCAAGGGAACAATACATCAAGAAGACATAACACTCATTACATATACTCACCAAATGAAGGGGCACCAAAATATATCAGACAGCTATTATCTCTGAAAACAGACATCAGATAAAATATATAGGTAGTAGGAGACTTCAACATAACACTATCAACAATGGATAGATCAACAAGACAATAAATAAGTAAGGACACTAAAGCTCTAAATAAGGATCTAGACCTCTTGTACTTTAACAGACATCTATAGAACACTATACCCCCAAAAAATCTGAATACACATTTTTCTCAAGCACACACAGATCATTCTCCAGGATCGATCACATACTGGCACACAAGACAAACATCAACAGGTACACGAAGACTGAAATCATACCAACCATCTTCTCTGACCATGAAGGCATCAAACTAGAAATAAACCATGAAAAGAAGGCAAGGAACCCTCCTACCTCATGGAGATTGAAACTCACACTACTGGAAGACGACTGGATGAATGAGGAGATCAAAGAAGAAATTAAAAAAATACTTTGAGTTGAATGGCAAGGAGAATATCAGTTTCCTAAATGCATGGAACATAGCAAAAGCAGTAATAAGAGGAAAATATATAGCAATGCAGGCTCACATCAAGAAACAAGAAAGAACTCAAAAATAAAAAAAACAACCTAATCTCACAGCTCAGCTCAAAGAACTAGAAAATGAACAACAACAACAACAACAACAAAAACCCTAAAACCAATAGAAGAAAGGAAATAATAAAAATCAA